CCCCAAAACCCCAAAACCCCAAAACCCCATTAGACCTAAAACCAGCTCTAAGATTAAAATTGAATAATAAAACGCAGTTAATATTCTTGCAGTAGTCAACCTAATTAAATTAAAGTAAGGATAAATTTAATGGGAAACTGTGGAGGAGGAAATAAAAATTTGTCTCTCAATGATTATATGAAAAGTAAGCTATTTTCATTGCCATTTTATAATCCTATCTCTAGCTTATCATCCTCCAGAGATAAAAATAGACACTAAGAACTTTGAATTGAGAAAATCAGTAAATTACTATTAATCGCATTCACTTAATTTATCGATATATAGTCTATTGGTGGGTTGAGTGGCAACATTATTAATTCACAGCCAGTTTAGTTGGAAGAACCAGTAAAGGGTGAAAACGAAGTAAGATTATTGCATAAATGTGTTTACTGATCCATGAATAGAATAAAGTTAGCAGAGTTAGAATTACTAAGCCTATGAAAGAAGAGTAAATGAGATTATCAAATAGGTCGTCGATCAGAGTCTACTAGATTAATCAAGAGTCCATTTTGAGAAACAAGAGACCAGAAAATATTGCGCCCTAGCCCTAATTCTTCAATGATTCTAATCCGTATGACATTAACTTGCTTGATAGAAAAGGTAAGAGATAATAATATTTTATCCTTTTATTTAGAGGCGATTTTGTTTTAGTAGAGTTGCTATAAGTATAACTTTAACGACTTTAACCCTTATGCTGAGAGACATATCATGATTACTAAAAACTCCATCAGAGTTTTTGAAAGTAAGAAAGCAGCAATCTCCCTCTATGGAAAGCCCCTGATTGCAATCCCATTCATAGCAGTAGAGAAAATTGAAAGAATCAAGTTTGACTATAACGATGACACTCGCATGGAAAATGTTGATCCAAAGACTATGCTGCTTAACAAGAATATGTTTGAATTCTTATTAAAAGATGACTTTTTGCCTATTTACACTCACTATAACTATCAGAAGATGTTCAAGGATTCGTCTATGGCTATGGATATTTCACCTGATAGAAGAAGGTCCACAAGCAATATGAATAGTAGTCCAAGAAAATCTACTTTAAGCTCAAAGATGGATCTTGGGTCAAGAATGAGTATTACTCTAGGAAGACCAAGTCTTGGAGTTGATTTGCATAAAAGAACCACTCAAGAACTTAAAGACTCCCCTAGCAAGTAATCAAAGATAGTTATGAGATATATCAATACCTATTCAGATGTTGGGCCACTCCTCTCCCCAAAATCAGTTACATAGCAAAGTCTCTCAGAGATTGCAAAAACAATTGACAAAAAGGAAATCTGGAGAAGAAATGATAGTAGAATGATATTTTCAGTGGAAGATTCATAAACCATAGATGAAGTCATTGAGCAACTCTGCAGAATACTCAATAACTAGTGAATAGATTGATCAAGATTAAAACAGTCAGATAGATAAACAGATATAGATTGAATAGGGACTTCCAATTTTTTTAATATAAGATCAAATTTAATTTAAGCTATAAATTTAATATATTTAAGTTTGTTTGCAATTATTAATGGAATCAACAGCTTAAAAGAAATTAAGTAATTTTGCTCTAAAATAACTTATTTTGTATAGAGGCAGTAATAAGTAAACAGCCAACTGGGAAATAAGGTACTTATTCTCTTTATAATAATTACTAGAGTCTTGGATGGATTTGTATTCAACAAAAACACCAGGGGGAAACGGAGCCTAATCAGTTTTTATGACTGAAGTGAGCACCACTATCGCTGGAACTACAGTTAAGAAAACACCATCCACACTTAGGTAGACTATGTAAACTAAGTCATCTAAGTTAGGCTTACCCTCTCTAATCAATAACTACAATTCAACAGCCTAGTTGTAGAGGAATTTAGTATTTCCCAGTATAAAGAAAAGCGTCAGTCTGCTAAATCTCAGAGCACAGGTAAGAAGAATATTGCTATTATATCTAAGTTTATTCGTATTTATTGTTCCTTTGAATTTCTTTGCAATAGAATATAATAAATTTATAGAGTGTATAAGGACCTAAGAAAACTAGGCAAATTGACATATAAAAGCTAACAATGCTTGCTTAGCCTAAGTTTACCCATGAAGATAAGCCTATCATACCAAAGCCTGGTGAAGAGACCGAGCTAGACAAAGAGATTAAAATGACAAAAGAAGAAGCTGCCGAGGATATAAATGAAATGTATGCAGTTTAAGGAGCCTTAGGTGTGAATAATTACATACAAAATATTGAGAGGTATCAATCAGTCAAGGATAGAATAAGCTAGTTTTAGCTTCTGCTTCAATAAAAGATTAAGGAATATAATGATATCAATTTCCAAAGAAAAGATCTCTAAACTGCATTGGATGAATTAAGGAAATAGCTTGGTCTTTTAGAACTTCAAGTTATCAATAATGAAAGCTGTGTAGAAAAAATAGGAGAATTAATAAAGGAAAGTCAAGATTGCCAATAAAGATTAGACATGGAACTACTTCACAGTGAATAGCTAAATCATATTATAGAAAGAGACAAGCTAATGATACTTTACATGAAATAGCCAATCGAATAGAAAAAAGCTGATATGCAATAGATTTTAAACTCAATAATCAGCATTAAGTCTCTGAAAAATAAAATGCAAAAGGAGATATCTCACTTTGAAAAGTTTAAGTCAGAGACTCTAGGTACTTCAAGCAATTAGAAGAAGATAAAAGACTTCTAAAAGACTGACTTTTTATTGGACATTTACTATAAGACAATGATTGATGAAGTATACCAGAAGTAGATAAAAATGATTGAAGATAAGGAGAAAGAGATTAAGCAAAAGAAGATTGAGGAGTAAACCTAGAAATTACTTGAATAGCAAGATAAATTACTGGCTGAAGAAAAAAGGAGAGGTGAAACTGATAAGAAAAAAATTAAATTTTAGGAGGATTTTTTGCAGTTATCTGCTAAATGTAATGTCAACAAGATATCAGATTTGGTGCTTTATCGAAATGAATAGTCAAATTAAAAGAAAGATCTGAAAGAGATAGCTGAAGAATTTCAGAATTAGGCTGAGGAGAAATAGTAGAGATTAAAGTCTCTTCATAATGAACTTGAAAGATTAAAGTTTCAAGCATCAGAAAAAAAGATGCAGGAATATTAAGAGAAAGCTGAGGAGGATTAAAAAAAGAGAAAACTTCTTTCAGATTCAGAGAGTCAACCTACTTATCATTATGATCCAGAAAAGCTCAGAGAGGAATATACCTTGAAAATGAAGAAAATGAAGGAAGTAGTTGCTACAGCAATTATGTCTATAGCTAGAGTAGCTCATCAGCTAAAAGAGGATACTAAAGTAACACCTAAAAATGCAGATCAAAAACTAAGTGTCTGTGGACTCAGGCTTGAGCATATGGTAGCAACTCTTTACAAGAAGAAGCCTACTTTCAATATTGAAAGTGTGAACACAGATTACAGTTCAGACTTACCTCCTCATTTCCTAGGAATTGTTAATGGAATCTATGTTAATCCCCCGATTATTGAAAATGATGAAAATGAATTGGAGAAATTGTACAATAAGCCAACCTAAATAACTGAAGTTGATGAGGAAAATGAGTTCGTTAATGACGAATACTCTAAACATAAGAGGCTAACTAAGGCTCTGGCTTAATAGGCTAGTAATAATGGCCAACCTCTGTTTATTTAAATACCAGATAAGCAAAATAAACCAAACAATCAATAGCAAAGTCAAGATAATAGAGCCTAGCTAGCCAAGAGTTTGGGTAAATTTTTCAGAGATCAAATAAAGTAATAAAAGAACAAGTAAGAGTAGTAGTCTTAACAAGAACAAACCAATACCATAAATAGAGGCGAGAAGTATGATATTATCATGAATGTGCTTAATAAGGGACAACTTAAGCCTTCTGCAAGCTAGTAAGTAGTCATGATAAATGAGAAGGATAAGGAAATCATGGAGACTAAATCACAGATCTAGAAACAACTTTCAAAAATAGTACATAGAACTTGGTATATCTTCGATCCAGAAAAGAAAAATAAAGCCAAAGACACCTTTAAGAAAGGACAGACAAATATTGCCAAATCTTAAAATCAAAACACTAGTTTATGATTATTAATTATCTTCATTATCAATTTCCATCTGCATAAATCTGAGTGGGGTTTTGGGGTTTTGGGGTTTTGGGG